ATCAGATGCTGTTTATCATCATAAGAAGTAACTGAAAGGAACAAGGTGAATGCATGGTTTAGAGGGAATTGCATTCTGGTGAGGGAAAGTATATAGCAAGTTAAAAAGCATATACTTAAGTAATGGTGAATTCAAAGAAGAATGCTGAAGCAAAAGGAGATAGGAAATACTCATGATCTTGCATAGAATAGTAAGGAAGACCCTAACTACGAATTCATGCATGGAGAATGGCTTATAGGATATAGGAAGCAAGAAGACAGAGAAGGAAGAGGAAGGAAGAGAAGGAAGGGGGAGGATGAATGGAGGAAGAGGAGGAGATGGAAGGAGGTTGGAGAAAGAGAAAGATGAAGAGGAGGAGGGAAAAGTGGAGGGAGAGAAAGATGAGAAGGATAATGAGGAAGAACAATAGAAGGAAGAGAGAGAGAGAGATTGTGGAACTTGGAGGTCCTTTTGATTAGATGGGAAGCTTTGGGGTGGGGACAGATTACCACTATTGCCGTATATCTCTCCTATTGGAATATTAAATATGATATAAGAGATTCACTTATCTTCTTGGGGTTCACATTCTCATACAGCCTATACATTATCTGATGTTACCATGTTCTCATATTTCCCAAGCTCTTAAAAGTGCTCTTGAAGACAAACTTCCATCGCCAGATTTCCTATTCCCTGAGTCCCTTTTTCAGATATTACTAGAGCAATGTTTCTGAACCTGTGGGTCACAACCCCTTTGTGGGTCCAGCCATTTATTCACAGGGGTTATATAGTAGATATCTTGAATATCAGATATTTGCATTATGATTCATAACAGTAGCAAAATTACAGTTACGGAGTAATCATGATGAACTGTACTAAAGGTTCACAGTATGAGGAAGGTTGAGAACCTCTGCTTTAGAGTCTTGTTTTTACTGAAAACTTGCTGCTCCTTGTGTATGTACAATGCCTCTAAGAATCCCTTTCTGAAAAAGATTCTAGTCTTTCTCCTTGTGCAACTTGGACAAGTACCATTATTCATCATTATGGGTGATCACCACTCCATGTTGTCCTCAGTTCCTCTTCTCATTTCCAGAAGCAATTTTATCAGTTTCTGGGTGGCTCTTTCTTTTATTTCGCTTAGCTTTCTGCTTTAATTTTAGTTTTTAGACAAGTTTTCCTTCCCCAGCTACCTATGCTTTTTACCCCACATGTCATTTAAATTCTGTATTTTGCATCATTTCTCAACAATATAGTAAGGATTACATTTCTTTATTTTATTGTCACATCTCTCTCTTCTCTTGGGCCTACATGTAAAATCACACGATTTACTCTATTCAAAGCCTCTGAGTCTATAATCCTAAATACCTTGAGTATAATAGTATTTAGTAAATAGCAACTGTTAAGTAAGTGAAGGGAAGCTTTGAAACACATAGAAGCTTATATCTATAGACCTTGAGCTTACCTGCAAGAGCCAAGTTCCCTGTATGTGACCAATCTGCAAAGATGACTACTGTGAGACTCAGTGGAAACTCAGATTGTACAGAGGAGTAATATTGAACCAAGACTACATATCCTCTAGTAGTTATCTATGGAAAGTCAGAGCATTTTTTGTGGCATTATCTCAAATTTCCCCTTGCCTAAAGAGGAAATGTATGCATGCATGGTAAGCAAATGAAAACCTTTAAAACAAAAAAGGTAAACAGTGAGTTGAAATGTAACTGGTGAAATCCTAAATGTTTTATCCTTGAATAGAGAAAGGATATTAACATGGAATCATTTGAGGTGTTTAAATATTCCAATTCTGCATTTGCTCAGTGTTGAGAGACTATGTACCTACAGTCATCTTTCATAAGTCCAAATATGGAACATGCGACTTGACAAATAAAACTTTGCATCAAGGAAAGTTATAAAAATGGGAGTTGGCTTTAAAAAGGAAGGATATTTAGATACATTCTCTGTGCCTCTGAAATTACACTAGGGGCTTGAAATGGCTCAAAAATAATGACTATAAAAGGAAGCCACAAGATTAAAGGTACATCAGGTATGCCCTCCGTTGATTTATAAAATAGGCACCATAATTGATATATCCAGCTTTCAGAATCAGCTTTGAGGAGGGTGAAGGATTTTGAATCTTAGGACATATATTCTTCCAGGAAGATAGGAGAAATTGTCAGATTTTTTTGTTGTTGTGTCCTTTTTTTCTTTTTATGTCAACTTGACACAAACTTGGGTCATCTTGGAAGAGGAACCTCAGTTGAAAACATTCCTCCACCAGTAGGCAAGTCTGTGGGCGAATTTTAAATTAGTTATTAATGTATGAGGGCCTTGTCAAGCCCTGTGGAGCTACCTTTAGGTGGCTGGTCCTGAAAAGTGTTAGAAAGGTATAGGAATGTTAGTCTGGAGAGCAAGTGAGTGAGCAGCTTTGTTCTGTGGCCTCTGCTTTAGCTCCTCCCTCCAGGATACTGCCTTGACTTCTCTGCATGATAGGATATAAGGAAAATATGAAACAAATAAACTCTTTCCTCCTCAAGTTATGTTTGCCTCTGCTTTATCACGGTAGCAGAAAGTAAAGCAGGACAGAAGTAGAGGCTTTCAAGTAGTGTGCTTCTTCCCGTACACAGCTGATGTTAGATTATGTAGCTGGGACATTTCATAAACACAATTCACCAAAGAGTTTGCATCAACCAACGTTGTACATGCCACTGACAAATAAGCATTTGACAGATGGAATTTATTTGTATTTAACATCACATTCTCCTTCAGCACCTTCACAGCCATGTGTTTTCTGTGACTCATAGCTTTGCTTATTTGATGTTCTGTATGCAAAGCTGCGATATTTCCTATCAGTAAGTTAGTCTCTCTCTCTCCCTCTCTTTCTCTCATCTCTCTTGATTTAGAGGTTAAAGGTTATTATAAATCTTGCAACTTGAAAAAAAATGACAAAATTCTACCTTCAGCGAGTGAGGAAATGAATAATTGTGTAGCATCTTCAAATTGAATTCTGAGTAGCCCCAATTCTTCATTTTCTATGTGGAGAACCAGAACAAACTGATATTGCTGAGTGTTCAGCATAAAACACAGCATAAGCAGAAAACAGGGATGGAAACAGAATCTTGATGGAGAAGAATTTTAAACACGTTTATGGGTCTTTCATTGTCATGCCTTCAGACTCTGCAGACACATTCCTCTCAGGACAGCAGTGGCACAGTATGTACCCACTGGCCTGTCTTCTTACAGTCCATGCCCACAGTGCCCACAGTTGATTTCGGTTCTACAGGTCAGTGGACAGGCACAAAGCATGTGCTATGCATCTGGACTTCAGGAGTCTACCACTATGGTTTTTAATGTTCTTGCTATTAAGAATGAAAACAGCACTTTGTCTTTGTAGGGCTGCCATTACAATCTAGCATTAGTACAGGCAGTTTTTCACCTTATTTGTATAGAATGTATAATTCTATCATTTTCTGAAAAGTAACTTTCTATTCCATGATTAGGATGCCACTGGTTTTGACCAGGCATGGGCTAGCCATGTCTTACTTGTGAGTCTTACTATGTGATTCATAGAAATCTTGTTTCATTTTTCAAGTCAGGAAGAGACTGGAATATTTAGAAAAAATTAAATGTAAATGATTCAGTCTTAGACTCATATTTATCTCCAGTGGAAAAATATTTTACACAGTATTTTGGAAAGAAAGGATATTTTTATTAGCTAATGAATATGCATCTCTGATGATATGCAAAATCCTGAATGCTTAGCTATGTGAAGCCAAGGGCTGTTTCCTTATCATTCAGGAATTCACAGAACTTTCATAAATGTTACCCACTAACACAGAGTGTTTACTTTCCTCTGGTATCTGTCATTATATTCTCTTACATTAAAAAAAAATCATTTGAAGAGCATCCATTAGTACTTAAAGAAAAATGCTTTAAGTTGGATTCCTAATACAGACATCTGACCTGAGCTTGTATAATTTGCATGCCGTTTGTTCATTTACAAATGTGCTTGTGAAGGTAAAAAGAAAGGCTCTTGAGCCACTTAGAGAGCTTTCTGTACACATGCCTGCATATTTAGCATTTACTAATGAAACTTCCAGGTGAATTAAAGCTAGTGCATCAACAGTCATTCTACAGCTTAAGCATCTCTTGACACTCAGGTCACCAAATCACCACCCAGGGGTTCAGTTTCTGGACTTTTACACACACCATTACAGCTATATAGAGCAGAAAATTTTGAATACCACAAATAGCACCATCATCTTCCTTTTATCCATAAGTCCCATCCTGTCACTGAGTCCTCATTCGTGTTCATTCCCAGAAAATATCTTTACACATACATGCACACATTGTGTCATTTTTATACTTAGGACAGCACTTATGTTTGACTGGGAGAAAATTCATAATCTTAATTAAGGATGATCACTATTTTCTTCAGAGGTAAACACATAAAGTAGATAATATATCTAGGTGGCATTAGACAGTGATTTCTTTTAAATTAAAAAAAATTTACACAGATAAAAGAATAGAGTATGTTCTATGCAGAACTACAAGAGTTTGAGTTTCCTTTAGAAGATGTTTGAGATTAAGGCACCTCAGTTGCTCTTAGACTTTTCATTTGTCACTCGTATTAACTAATATGTCACTATTATTGAGGACAGCTATGATTGGGAGCACAAAATTCTGTTTGAAATAAGCATTGTTGCACCTTAGTTTTTTATATTAGACACTCCCAGTCTATTAGCCATGAAGAAACTGAGTAGAAAACTCCCATATTGAGTAATTTAAAGACTTCTGATGTCATAGATTAAAGGGAAGGATGGTTTGAGATTTTTTTTTTTTTTTGTATAATTTCCTTTGAAGACCTCAAAAAGGGAAGACAGACATAAACACAAACTCCAAGGAAAACTCACACAATCACACAGACACACCAAAGCAAAACTAAAACAGATTTCCACTGGAGATGTCAAGAAAGTACTACCTTGCCCCAAACTGGCAAGAATCCGATTACCACAAGGATGGATAGTTACCCATGGCGAAGAAAGGGATTCCCAGCAGAGTGGAGTTGTACTTCCCATCAGTGATGAAGAAGATCCCAGCTGCAGTGGCGATGGAAATGCACACCGTGAGCACCCCCAGGAGGCCCAGGAAGGGCTTACTGCGCAAGCAGTCCTTCATGGAGCTGGACAGGGTGGCCGTGGTCAGGATCAGCACGAGGCTCACCAGGACCTTGCTTCTGGCCAGGATGCTGGTCTTATGAAAGTCTCTCCAGAGGCTAAAAGATGCCAGAGAGTACAGTTGGAGGTCTTGGTGCTCATCCTGGAGCTTCCTCATAAGCTTACAGAACTCATTCTCCCACTTCTCCCCTATGAGGTCTTGAGTGGCAGAACCATAGGTCTGGAGGTAGTAGGTGATTTGAATGGCTCTGGCTGACTTGACCCGCTGGTCTTTGCTGTTTGGCACTTCCACTACCCCGCCTAGCTGGTGTCCAATAAAACTGTTCCTCCCATCCTTGAAAACAGAAAGAGGGGAGACTTCGGTTACCAGAAGGATGCACATTCCAAGGAACAGGTTCTTATTCTAAGCGAAGAAGCACAAGGAAGGCAAAGAGAGGTGCTGGTGATTGTGGAATTGATGTGGGTGGAGAGGAGAGCTGGGATTTCATTCTTAACCTTTTGGAGCCATGTGGGAAACCCTGCAGGCAAACAGGAATGATTCGATGGAGAGAGTGGCCCAAAGCTCCACCACACTGGCCTCGTGCGAAGGGGAAAAGCCTCATACATTTGGAATTCCCAATTTTTCTTCTAGAGCCATCTAGTCAAATTCCTTAAGAGCAGATTCAGTTTATGATCGCTGTAAGCAGAGCATGGCACAAGGCTCATCCTAGGCCATGCTAAAGAGACAAGAGTAAATTTTTCTTCAAGAAGATGCTACACCTCTCATCCCCAGAACTCCTGGCCTCAGCCCTGTTCTTGTGAGCCTCTATGGGGTTCCTCTGGTCTACAATCCTCCTGTGGTGTGGGTCAGAAAGGGATTGCTGTCTCCTTGTTCCCTTTTCCACCCCTTTCTTTCAGATGCTGGCCAGAATGTAAATAAGCTTTTTCCCCTTTGATATTTTGGGCTTCCTTGCTTTCTCTAAAGCCTCCTTCCCTGCCATATATCTGACCTATGTGCTAGCTTCAATGTCATGTTTTTTTTCCTCCCTTCTTTATTCTTGTCTCCTCCTCTATCTGTTCCTGATTTAGTTTGCCCTAGGTGTGATCCTTTTAAACTCTAAGAAAATTGTCTTTGAGCTTCAAAAGTTAAAATATAATCATCCTGTATATAAATATGCTAAGCTTTCCAGAATCAGTATAGGCACCAACACACAGACAAGAACATCCTTACTTCCTTACATTCGTGCAGTTAAATGAATGGTTCAGAATAGGATAAATACCTTTCTAAAAGCTAGTGTGGTGTTGAAACACTTCCTGCATGTGATACCAGCATTTGCTGGGTCTGCACAATCCCACCCCTCCATCCCTCACCTGAATCTGCCTTAGATTTATCTTTTCCTATTGATAAATTCCCAAAGGAGGTTGATAAGATTTTCAGGTAGTGCCACCAAATGGTGCCCCCGCTTCAGTGCTGGGCTTGAGGAAATGTGGACAAGACCATCATCCTAGGAACTGTGTAAACAAAGCAGCCATTCCTCCTTAAAGCACACTTAGATGACACAGACTTGCCAGTTATTCTCGTCCAATGAGGGGGCTCCCTGACACAATCACAAAATTTTAATCTATTTGGAAATTTTTATCTTTGTCACAATTGTCTCCACACTTTAGTGGTGATGGTTGATAGAATGTTGAGCCCCAAAGCAGGCTTCAGGATGATTTATAGAGCTGAAAATACACGGTTGGTATCAGGTGAGATGTAGACATAAAGAGAAAGTTTATGCTACAAGTAGTTTGTATGTGAATGGAGTCATGAAAGTTGTTCTCACAAGAATATAAAGGAGTTGATTCTCAGCAAGAAACACTTCTCTGTGGAGACCAGTAAGTGAGGGCAGCAGAACACTGACTACTGTCCTGACCACAGGTGTTTACATGGAACTCCCACACACCTAGACATGAGACACTTATTTGTATTTTGCTTTTAACATACACAAAAGTAACTCTAATGTTTCAGCATGTATTGCAAACAAGAGAAGTTGGAGATATTCATAGAATGCAAATTCAACTTGGAGAATGATAAAAACTTGAAAGAAAACTGTATGAAGTCACCCTGTGGACCTGCCCCTGCAAGTTAAATACTTAACAACCACATTAAGAAACTAAATAGCTGGACAGTGGTGGCACACACCTTTAATCACAGCACCCAGAAGGCAGAGGCAGGGGAATCTATGAATTCAAGACCAGCCTGGTCTACAGTGTTAGTTCCAGGAAAGCCAGGTCTACAAAGAGAAACTCTGTCTTGACAAACCACAAAGGAAGAAAGACAGAAAGGAAGGAAGGAAGGAAGGAAGGAAGGAAGAAAAAAGAAAAAAGAAAGAAAGAAAAGAAAAAAGATAGGTGGGAGAGAAGGGGAGGGAGAGAGGGAGGGAGATGGAATAAATAAAAGAAAGGAAACCAAACTTGACCAAACCCAAATGAACAACTTGTTTCTTAAAACAATTTGATTTTTGTTTTCTCCCTTTTAACTTAACTGGGGCTGGAGAGATGGCTCAATGGTTAAGAGCCCTGCTGTTCTCTCAGAGGACCCTGGTTCAATCCCCTGAACCCAGAAGGTAGCATATGACCATCTGTAATACCAGTTCTAAGGGATCTGACTCCTATTCCGGTCTTCAGGGGCATATGACACCCACTTTGTGCACAGAACTACATTCAGCCCAAACACCCATATGAATTAAAAACAAAAACGTAAAAAGAAAAACAACAAACTGAAGGTTTGGGGTAAGTTTCCTTGTTTAAACTCAGTGGGTTTTGCAAGGAGGGTTGGCAAGCTTTGGGGAAAGCAATGTGAATCTTGCCTACGAACTAAGTAATAGCTAGTTTACTTGGTGAATTTTATGTAAAAATTGACACTATGTTTTAGTTCAATTTTTCTTTCTGTGGCTTTGAAATTCTGTCTATTTAAACATGTATATCTGATAATCTGAGAGAGACATACCCCCATATCCCCAGAGCTCTGTTTGTTTTTAGGGATGTGCTGTTCTGCCTTAGCTCCTTTCTGTCATTAAATAGACCTCTGGGGATCTTTAGCAGCAGAGAGGAGAGTTATGTGTCCCTCAGGTCCTACTTAGAGATTATAGTGGACAAGGAAGGCACTGATTATATGTCTGGACAAAAGTCAAACATTTAAAGAAGTATAGATTTTTAAATAGCTAAACTTTATTGACTTTGACCAGCTGCTAGCCTTCCTTTTGTTTGTTTGTTTTATTTTGTTTTGTTTTTCAAGACAGGTTTTCTCTATATTGCTTTGGAGCCCGTCCTGGATCTAGCTCTGTAGACAAGGCTGGCCTGGAACTCAGAAAGATTCACCTGCTTCTACCTCCCCAGTGTTGAGATTAAAGGCATTTGGCACCAAAGTCTGGCTTCTAGTCTTCCTTTGGAAACTGCTTAATTTTCATTTTTTTTTTATAAAAAATACCTTATAAGAGATACACATTCAGTGTATCTTCCCTTATTATATTTAAGAAAAGTAAGAAATAACTACTGGTCCATGTTTAAATTTATTCACCTGCACACTATAAATGGAGTGTTTTGACATTCTGGATCAAAACTCCATTGGATGGTTGCAACATGCACATGTGGTTGGCTCAGCTAACCTATCTGCTACAGATCTTTAGAAAGCAAATCATACACATTATGGGCATGAGAACATTCTACTTTGAGATAAGAGTAGCAAAACGTTTCTCTTCTCGAACTAATCAATCATCAGATGCTTCTATATAGGAGAAACTGAGGATGAATGCAGCAAATATTTTATGCCTTGTAGAGAACTTCCTTGGAGTCATAGTACACTTAGGCTAATTTAGTGAATTTTTCAGATGTGATGTAACTTGAGTTGGACCATGTAACTCATTCTAATTGGGAGAAACTTCTATGTAGTTTATTGCCTAAACCATCTTCAGTTTTATTAACAGAATGAGATATGTGTATATAAAGTGATGACTATAGGATATAGAAATAAATTTTTGGCTCTCTTACTCTATGAATAAACTACCTATTCAAAGAGTTTGGAGAGACCTGAATGTCAGAAATGCTGTTCTCACAGCTATAATTGCAATGTATTGGCTTTTTAAGCACCAGGTTAAGATGCAGCTAGTCACTGGTAGAGCTATTTTATTTGCGATGTAAGAGAACCTAGACGTGTAGAAAGTGGCTGTTAACTTTAGTTCCTCCTCAGATCTTCTGTTGCCAACTCCAATCTTTTCTAGACCTTCATGGAGTCAGAGCAGAGAAACCACTTAGTCACATGTATCAAAACTTTATTTTACCTTTGGATTTGTCTTTCCAACTTCTCCCTCATAATCTAAAACAGCTTGTCAGGTAAAGTATTGCATGTAATTTGACTCAGTGTCTTCATAGCAACCTCTCCCACACATTTTGTAATTTCTGTGAGTATAGAAATCACCCTTATGATACCATAAAGATAGGTGTTACGTTTTTAATGGCAGAATGGTAGTATGCTGACTTCAGCATAGCTCTGTTTCAGCAATGGATTGAGCACAGTTGTCATGTCAACAACTCAAGATGGCTACAGATCTCTGCTTCTATCATGGTCTGATTCTGCTGTTCCCAATGTACTTTCCATGCCATAGGCAGAACCTACTCAGACCATTTCAAATGAGACGGTACCATCTCTATACCTGAACCCTCTACTGGTTTGTATCTGCACTTGATCTGGTCTACAGCAGGGGCTCTGAGATGGCCTGCAGAGCAATGCATGGCCACAGCTAGAGATGCCTACTGTCTCGTTTGCCCTTCTTCTCCTTCCTGGGTTTCTTTTCCTCACTGAAGAGTTAATTTCTACCTCCAGGTTTGTGTCTGGTGTTCTTGTTGCTTTGACTATTTCCCTATATTCCTCTTGAATCCAAGACTACTTCCCGTTATGGATGTCTTAGCTTAAAACAACAACAACAAATTATTTAAATCATAATCTAAATTGAACATCTTGTTTCCAGAAGCCAGACATGGCATTGTTCTATTTTATGAGCTTTTGCTAATGATATCTACCTGAGATAATTGTAAATAGTCGTTCAATTGTTCCTTTCCTGTCTCTTTAGTTGGAGGGCACACTAGCTGAGAGTCATGACCTTTCCTGATTTGCTTACTAATAACTCTCTGAAGCCTTAAACAAAGCCATTCTCTGCATAACATTTGCTAACTGAGTGAACTCATCTTTAGGTGTAAATTACATTGCATTTTAAAAACTGCATAATTTGAAATGCTATCCTCTTTCCAAACTCTTTAGTTTCTTGTATCATTTCCCCAGCACATATTACTATTTGTCTTTCACTGTGCACCAAG